GGAGGGGAAAAGCTTTGGCTGGGGCAGTTCTGAAACCCAGCTTTCTGGGGAGAGGAGAGGAATTCCTGGCCAGCTGGAGCTGGATTCTGTTAACCATGTGACTGAAGCTGGCAGAACAGCCAGGTGTTTAAGCCCGGAAATAGGGGACCAAAAGACCTGGCCTTTGCATTTGGACAGTGCAAGTCCAAAGGAAAGGGGGTTGTCTGCCTTCTGGGAAGTCAGGCCCTGGGGGAACGAACTTCTGGAAAGGTGTGCCTGCGTGGGCCTCCAGGTGAAAAGTGGTATTTACTGGAACGGCCAGGTTGTCCTGCTAACACGTTCTTCCTGGGAACCCAAATCATAGGGTCATGCTGTGCAACTGGAAGAACCCGGGGGAAAGTGGGACTAGCTAAAGAAACAGGGAAATAATAGTGATTGTTCATGGGCTACTGTGAGTCCTTTATGTGTTTTCTGTGGGGTAGAGAAAAGGCGGTTCTCTGCCCAGTGATGTTACCTTAAGGGCTCGTGCAAGGTCTGAGGATAGGTAGTAGATAGATATGTGCACACGTGTATCTCTACATATATGCATATGTGCATGTGCACAGATATATATACACATGTGTACACACCTAGATGTGTGTGTAAGACATTATTATCCCTGCTGTTTTGAAGCTCTATCCTGGGATCCCCAGAGGCCACGGTGGTTGGGGTGGGCAACCTGCAACCTCGAGGCCACATGTGGTGCTCTAGGTCCTTAAATGTGGTCCTTGGACTGAATCCAAACTTCTCGGAACAAATAAAAGGATTTATTCTGTAAAATTTGGACTCTGTCGAGAGGCTGCACTTGAGGACCTGGAAGGCCACCCGTGGCCTCGAGGCTGCAGGTCCCCCACCCCTGGTGTAAGCTAAAGAAGGTGATTAGAGAGATCGCCACCCAACATTGGTCCTGGTTGGTAGGGGCCCTTTGCGCCTTAGGCCCAGGTTCCATAGGCACGTTGGGTGCTCTGTAAACTCTTGGTGGTGTCGCAGGGGGTGAAGCTTCTCTCTGTCCGTGTCTCCTGGTGGGCTTGTGCAGCTGCTGAGTCGGAAGACCTGAGCCTGAATGGGCAGTGGCTGGTGGGAGCTTGGCCCTTGGCCCTTTCTGCAGAGGGCCTCTGCCTGTTGGCTAATTGGTCCCCATGGGGATTATCATAGGGGGCTTTAATTGAGATCGTCAGATTTTTCACACTCATTAACATAAAAGGGAACCTTCCACCAGTTGTTTTAACCTTGGAGGGGGCAGGGATGGTTGTAGCATGTGAGTGAGCCATCTCTCGTTGGAGTCACATTCACATGGCCCCCCTCCTCATCTCCTTGTCGATGATCTGTGGCTTGAATGGCCCCCTGGTCTTTTAGGAGCATTAGTGTGTCAGGGGAGCCCCAAGGCATGAAACCCAGCTGGGAGATTCCTGGATGAAGACTCCCAGAGGGGAAAATGGACAGCCTGAGTTGGCCGTGGCCTGGATGTAGGGTGCAAGTGTCATCAGTGTGAGTCTGAGAGGTGGGAAAGTGCAGGAGCCCTCCCGAAACAGAGGGGACCAGTAAACTGGGCACAGTGATGGCAGGGCATGACACCCACTCACATGGAGGCTGAACTGTTCCTCCTTCGCAAAGCCCTCCTTGCCATGTTAAGCCAGAAGCTGATGGCATGGGGTGTTTTCACATACCCTGTGGTGCATCTAGAAGTAGTGTGGTGCGGTGGTTAGAGTCCTGGAGGTGGAGGCAGGAAGTCCCGCCTTTGCCTCCTATATCTGGGATGTCACTTTCTTTCTGTGAGCCTCAGTTTCAGGGTGAGACAAGGTCCAGCTCTCGATCTCGCCTCCTGGGAGTTTCTAGCCTCCTGAAGTCCTAGTGCTCATTCCAGGCTCCCATTTATTTTCCATGGATTTGTCTGGACAACGCTCAATGACTGGTCCCCTGTAGCTGCAGCCAGGTGCTGGGGTTGTCATGAGCTTTGGCAAGTGCTACTGGAGGGCTGTGTTGCTCACAGACATCTGGGGGAGCCTTCTCTGGAACTCTGTGTGTGTGTGTGTGTGTGTGTGTGTGTGTGTGTGTGTGTGTGTGTGTGTGTGTGCGCGCGCGTGATGGGGGGAAACAAGCACAGGTTATCTTTCCTGGCTCTCAGGGGCCATGGCTGAGGCTGCTAAAGCAGCCTCTGGAAGGATGGCCACCTCTTACAGCCTTTAGTTCTCTGGGCTGCTTTGCACACAAGCTTTAGCCAGCTCAGGTTGTATTCTCAGAACAGCTCTGGTGGGTTCTTACCCAGCCTCTTCGGTGGAAATGAGGCCACACCCACTTTCAGAGTGGATCCTGGCAGATGGATTCCAGGCTCCCCTTTCTCACCTGTCACATGGTGAGAGCATCTTCCCTGGACAAGGCAGCACACCAGAGTAGGGGAGATGCAAGAGCGTGGCATTGTGAGCTGTTGGGGATGGTGAGCCTCTCCTCCCCTTCTCAGTGAGGAAACAGACCCAGACTGGCGTCACTTGCCCAAGGATGTCAGCTATGAATAGTGGAGCTGACATTTGGGCCTGTCTTGGGTTCCAAGTCCTATGCTTCTGCCACAACTCATGTTGTTCTCCTTTTCTGGGAGAATGTGCTAGGATACCCGTACCAGTATGACAGGTGACTGGTGTGAGAAGGACCAAGGGAAGGTCTGGCCAATGTGCTTTAAGAGGCAGCTAAGATCAGGGATGACTTTCTGGAGCAGGTGGCATCTGAATTAGGCCTCAAAGGAAGTCAAGGATCTCAACAGGAAGAGATGAGGGCCCAGCCTGGGTGAGTGCTGGAGTCCAGAGAGGGCAGGACAAGGTCCTGAAATGGCTAGCAATCCTGTTGGGCTGGAGCAGAGTGGGTGAAGGAGAGAAGAATGTGAAATGAGGCAGGAAATGTGGGCTGGAAGCCTTAAATACCAGGCCAAAAGCGATGGGGAACCATGGAAGGTTTTTGTGTAGGGCAGAAACCAGATTAGCCTGGAGCCTTTTTGTTAGTTATGGGGGAGATAGGCAGGGAGACAGAGGCTGTTGCAAAGTCCAGGTGGTCAGCCGGGCGCCTAGCACTCTACAGTAGGTGCTTCAGAAGTGCTGCGCTCTGGAAGGGTCTGTGCCTGCTCCCTGTACCAGAAGCAGCAGAGACAGGGCCCCTTGGTCAGCAGGGCTGCTGGGCAGTCCCCTCCCCATTGGCCAGGTCCACCTGGCACACCCCAGCTGGCTTCTGGGGATTTGTCAGGCCCCAGGCAGTCCAGCCCGGGGACTCCTGGGGATATGGTGCCCCATGTTCCCAGCTCCTTCCCAGCCTCCTTTGCTGCTCTCTTCAGAATTTCAGAAATGAGGTTCCCTTTTATGTTAATGAGTGTGAAAATCTGATGGCCTCAATTAAAGCCCCCCCCCATCATCCCATGATGATGCCCATGGGGACCAGGCCCTCATTCCTCCCCCACCGTCAGCTGATATTTGAGGCAGCCTCAGTCAATCGATGAGGCTCCTGTCTGGGGCTCGTTTTTCATCAGTGTCGGAGGCCTTGCCGGCCTGCAGGCTGTGGCTTTAAGGAAGCTGTGGGAGGGAGGGAAGAAGAGAGGGAGGGAGGGAGGGAGGGAGGGAGGGCTGGAGCTGCAGCAGTGTCCTGCCCGTGTTGGGAGAGCGCCTGAGCACCAGGGAGCTGGAGGAGGCAGTGGGCCGTCAGGTAACTGAAGTGCAGGGCTGGCTCCCTCCCTCCCACCCTGCCTGCCTGGCCCAGGGGGCGGCCCCAGCACCTGTGCACACACCCGGGAAATGGGCTGCTCGGGCAGCCGGCCGTGCCTCTCCTCTCCGTGCACTGCGACCAGGGTAATGGGGGGCCCTGGCTCCCAAGGGGGAGAGGGGCAAGGGCTGGGACATGCGGCTGCTGGCCGGGAAGGGGCCCCTGCTGCTGCTGCTGGCTGAGCTGCAGGAGAGGCACTCATCCTGCAGGGATGCGGCTGCACCTGCGGGAGCCGGGTCAGCTTTGCAGAAGGCAGGGAAACTCTGCCTTCCAGCTGATGGTCCTCAGGTGCTGCCTGTCTGGGGGACAATGCGGCCTGGCTCCAGAGAGGGGAGGCAGGTGCTTGGGTGTGTGCCCATGTGGACACGTGGGTGTTGTTCTTTAGGGAGACTTGAGGGAAGGGGTCCCGAGAAGCCTTTGTAAGTCCCGGGCAGGAGGACGGCGCCTTATTCCTGGTGCTTTCATGAGCGACCTTCTCTGGGCTCTGGCCAGGGCAGAGTCTGGGGTGGGGGGAGAAGTGTCCTCCCAGCGGAGTGTTGGGGAGCCTCCGGAGAGTTCTACTCAAGCCTGGTTTTCCCTTTGCTTCAGAAGGGTTGGGGCTCCTGGTGCCTGGAGCCGGGAGGGGCTTGGCGGAAAACTTTTATGGACCTCGGCATACTTGGAGTGCACACGCATGCCGGAGTTAGTGCACATGCCTGCAGCAGCCCCAGGGAGCAGGATATCAAATATTTACCTTGAGCAGATTCGCCTCCTGTGCCTCGGGGTGTGGGCTGTGGGTGGAGGGCTGGGATTTCTTGGTAGGGGGGTGGGGGGCTACCTGGGCAGTGGCAAGGGTCCTTGATCCCCAGCTTAAAAGTAGCCCAGTGACTGCTGGCTGTGTGCTGGGAGGGAGGGGTGTGCACAGCCCAGCCCCATCCCCCAGGCCATCACAGCCCCATCCTCCTCCCCCTCCCCCTTCCCCAGGCCGTCACAGCCCCACCCAGGCCTTGGCTGCTGCTGGGAGTGAAGATTGGACTGGGTTCCATAAAAAGACAGATGGGGGGGAGATCAGTGCTGGGCTCACTTCCTTAACGACGGCAGGGGCACCCCTGTTTTTGTACAACGTGAACTGGGAATCTGAATGATTCTTATCTTGGCTCCTTGCTCCCTCCGGAGTCTAGTTTTCCTCCTGGTAACAAATGTGGGTCTGATTGAAAGGGACCCTCTTGCAAACACTCTGGTAACCCGATGTGTTTCTTCCGCAGAGGGAGGAGACTCTGAAACAGCACCAGGCCCTATCTCAAGAGCTGGTCAGCCTTCGGGGAGAGCTGGGTAAGAGACGGGGCTAAGGGTGGGGAGAGAGTGCATGTGTGAGTGTGTGTGAGTATGCATGTGTGTAAGCGTGTTGTGTATGTGAGCATGAGTGTGAGTGCATGTGCGAGTGTGAGTGGGAACATGTTGTAAGTGTGTATGCATGTGTGCCTGAGTGGGGGGCAGGGAGGGCTTCCCCTCTAGGGCTGGCCATTGGCCGCCCCAGTGCGTCTGTCTCTGGCTCCCTTCGGGTGTCCCTGTGTCTGTCTCTGTCTGTCTGTGCCTGGGCGCATCCGTCTGTCCTGGAGCCTCTGCCTGTCCTGCACGTCTCTCTGTCTTACTCCTTTCTGTCTCGTTTGTCTCTCTCTGCGTGTCTCTGGCTCTGGATCGGTCTGAGCCCCAGACGCAGCTTTTTGCTTTGACTCTGTCCTTGTGGGCTGCTCCCCGGCCCCTCCCCCCATCCAAGGCTGGCTTTCTCCGGGGTCTTGGGAGGCAGCCTGGCTGTGAGCTCGCTGCATTCCTGGCACCGCCGGCTGATCCGTAGCCGGTGACTAAGACGCGAGCCCGTCCAGATAGAAGGGGTGATGACTTGGCATTGCTAGTACGTGGCCCAGCCTTCATTTGGCAGTGGCTTCTGCAGGAGCTGCCCGCCTTCCTCTGGTGCAGTGACCAGTCCAGCCCTTTGCAGAGAGGGAGACTGAGGCTTCAGAAGTGAAGTGCCAGGGTCATAGAGCTAGCAAGTGTCGGAGGTAGGGGTCAGACCTGACCTGGTGCTCTAACCCCTGACCCACCCAGCCTCCTCCCTGTTCTCCTTCAGGTTCTTTGAAGGGTTAGTGGAATGTTTCACAGATGCTGGCGTGGAGCACACGTGCAGGCTACCCAAGCAATTCCTGCATGCCCCTGGGGTGGAGGGAGGGCAGACAGGCTGGGTGCTGGGCGCTAGACCTGGGTTCGAGTTCTGACTGTGGTACTTCCTTGTATAACCTCAGGCCATTCGCTTTGCTCGGTTGAGTCTCAATTTTATCATCTGTAAAATGGGCATCTGGTGTGGACAGAGCCTTTAGGGGCCTCTTTTTGGACCCCCAGCACTTATCACAGTGCCTGGCACTTTGTTGACTGAGGTGCAGAGGTGAAAGGTACGCTGATCTGTATTCACATAGTTCTGTAAAACCAAGGCAAGGGCCGCGAAGGGGAAGGGGCTGTGCAGCGGAAGGGGCTGGCTGCCTTGGTGAAGCCCAGGTCCCCCAGCCCAGCAGCTGCTGGACAGATCCCCTTCCCCACCTCAGTAGTGGCTCTGCCAGAGCCGGGTGACCAGATGTGGAGTGGTGGGATGTCTGGTCCCCAGGGCCCTGGCCTCTCCAGCCCCAGCATTCTAGAGCCTTATGAGAGCATCTGGACCCTTGGAGGCATTGGCCTCTGTGGAAGGCCTCCTGCTGTGCGTGAATGTATGCATGCAATGTTGGGGTGGTGAAAGTGACTGCAGGCCCACCTGTGGCTGATGTGGTCCCAACCAGGGAGCATCTGTAATGGGCCGCGCTCCTTGGCCACCATGGCTGGCCAGGCCCTCCTTTTCTCCAGCAGAGAATCCCAAAGGTGCCAGGTTGCATGCCTCTCATGCTTCCTTCGCCTCCCGTGGCATCCTCAGGCCCTCATGGCATCCCAGAGCATGGGAAAGAGGGGGGCACAAGGTCGGAGGGCAGACGCAAAGGGGCCTCATGGCCACGAGGAATGATGCTGGGCTCATGCAAGGCTGCTCCGCCATGACCTGCTCTTGTCCCCTTAGCTTGGAGCTGGACTGTGAGGGCTTTAGATGGAAGAGGAGGCAGCCTTTGACCCTGAAGGGGATAGGGAGCCACTGGACCTTCTTGAGCAGGGGAGGTGATCAGACCTGGGCTTTGAGCATATTCCTTGGGATGGAGGCCTGACCCCAGTGTGGAGAGGCTTGGGCTGGCTGCTGGAGCAGCCTGGCCTGAGCCAGGGGGAGGCCGTGTGAGCAGGGGAGAGGACTGAGCTGGGGAGAGGACGTGGAGGCCATTGGACAGTCTGGGCCCCGCTGGGGCTGTGGCGCTTGCTGTCGCGTGCGCCCCAGACAAGGTGGCGAGTGGGACAAAACGGGGAAGAAGCCTCCTTTGTTTCCTGGCATTGATTCTAAAGGACAGGAGAGGAAGGGGGCCGCTGCCCTGGCCTGGCCTCCTCCCTGGCAATACAGGCCGGCCGTTCTGGGCAGAACACTACCAGCATTCACTGCCCTTTCCATGGGGACTCAGGCTGGCTCAGGTAAGGCTCCCTGCCTGCCCCCTCGCCTTTGTACCTCCCTGCCTTGTGCCAGGCCCTTTCAGGCATGGTGAAGGTGAGAAGAACCTTGCGGGCTGCTTTCATGACAGTTTGAAAGCCAAGCCGAGCTGCCGAGCCCCCGTATCACTGGGGCCCCCATTACATAATGGGCCATGGCAGTGGCTGGGCCGGGCTGCCTCGGATGCCCTTGAAACAGCAGAATGGCTCGGGCCCCAGAAGGGCTGAGAGCAGAAAAGGCTTCCCAGGCCCCGCCTTTGAGGGGATCACAGCCCTGCAGCCCCAGCAGAGGCCTGGCCTGGGGTTCGATAATGTGGTGGGAGTGGGGTGGAGGCTGGCAGTGAAGTGTTAGTGGACGCCCCCAGCCTTCCTCCACATGGATGGGAGTGTCTTGGGACGCTCAGATTCTGTAGCAGTCTGCCTCCTTGGGCAGTGCAGAGCCCGGCCAGCTCCTGGTGCTGGGGGACAGTGTCCTGAGTGCCTCCTTCTGACTGGAGGGCGTTCTCGTTTGCCCGGGTGGTGCCCCCTGCCCTCAGCGACCCCTTCTTGACCCGTGTGGTGCGATGTGCCGCCCTCCTGCTCCTGGCCTGCCGATGGCTGGCTGCGGGACTCGGCCTGGTCCCGGCTGCTTTGGATTTTCCAGCTTGGTGGAGCGTGCCTGCGGCCTAGTCCCCCTGGGTGTGTGACTGTCCTTGGGGGAGGGACCGCTTTGGAAGGGAGCTGATTTCCAGCTCATGTTGGTATAGGTCAGTCGCTGACCATCCACAAGAGGGAATGAATGAATGGGTGAGTGTGTATTAAGTGCCTACTGTGTGCGCGGCGGCAGGAATGGGAAGACAAGTGAGTGTCCTCGCTTTCACTCAAGGAGACAACATTCTGGGGGGGGGGGGGATGGTGGCCAGGAGGAAATGGTTGGTCTGGGAGTCATGGTGGAGGGGTGGCGGTCCTAGTGCCAGAATCAAGGCCACCATTGATTTGAAAGGAGGAGGGGCCAGATGGCAAGAGCCAGGCCTGTGGGCCACTGGCCAGGCCCAACACGAGTGTACTGACCCACCTCGGGGAGGGAGGCGTGGTCTCTGGCCCACGGAAGAGGCAGGTGTGGCCCTGGCAGATCTGCCAAGATCCCCCCCACGCTACGACCACCAAGCATTAAGTGCCTACTGTGTGCCGGGCCCCAGAGGGAGGATGCAGTTGTCCCCGGGGAGCTCACCGGCTCCCTCCCGTCTGTGGGCTTTGTGTGGGCAGAGGGTTACTGCCATTCTAGCTGCAGCCCCAGAGGAAACCTCCCACCACCAGGACAAAGTCCAGGCTCATCTCTCTTCCCGGCCTTGTCTTGCCCAATGCCTCATTCCCATCTGCCTCCCCTAGGAAGTGCCCCTAGCTTGCCCCGCGGGTAATGACTCATTGTGCCGCTTGGCGATGGGTACCTCGGAAGCCCACCTGTTTTCCATTCCTGGCCCCGAGGGGGTTACTGATGCCACAACAGCCTCCTCATTGGTCCTCCTGCCCTCCATTCTGTGCCCGATGTCCTCCATCTTTCCCATAGTGCCAGGGAAATCTTCCCTGGGTACAACTGTGACCCTGCTCCTCCTCCCCTCCAAAGCCCTCAGTGACTCTCTGTTGCCTGCTGCATAAGGTAGAAGCTCCTGGTCCTGGCATTTGAGGCCTTTTTGCTCCAGACTTCAACCAGCCTGGCTGGCCTTAGGTCCTGGGAGTGAGTCCCCTTCATGGGTTCTGTGCTCCCATGTTGGGCCACTCTCCGTTCTCCTTCCTGTGCCTTTGCCTACATCATCCCTCACACTGGCCTGGCCTGGCCTCCCTGCTTCTGCAGGACAGGGAGTGTTTCCCGGCCAGCCTTGTGCCCTGACTCTTCCTGGGCCCCCTCACATAGCACGGCTGAAGGCGAATGGGGGTGATGTGAGACAACTTAGAGCCTGGAAGGATGTGACCACTGAAGGTCATCCCTGGGGACGAATGGAAGAGCCTCCTGGCCATTCAGCGTCCCCAGGCCAGATGACACCTTTTCTGCCTTTAGCTCTGCCCCTTTATGGGGGAGAGGGGAGAAGGGGGGGAGGGGATGAGCTATTGTTTTGAACTATAATTCAGTATTCTATCTGTCAGGCCCAATTAGTGCCTTCCTGTAACGGGTAATAATTGCTACTGAGCTTTCCGCTGTGAGTGCTCTGCCCCGATGGGATGTGAGGAGGTGACGCTGAATCACTGGGTTTTAAATTAGGAAGCCTGTCAGTGACGGGAAGTTGTAACTAGGGCTGAGTGGATGAGGACATGCCCAGGGGCAGGGTGTGTGTGTGATGGGGATCCACTGATCAGCGGCCAGACAGCTCTGAGCGCAGTTAGTGCTGATTGGCTCTAGTGGGGATTCCCCCGCCTGCATGGCGTGAAGACCCGCCGTTGCTCCAGGACACCTCTACCTCCGGGTCACCGCCTCCTTCTGGGGGATACTCACTGCTCCCAGAGGGTTTCCTCTTGTGCAGGTCACAAAGGCTGGACACTGGGGGACACCTCTATGTGCATGGGATAGCAGCTGAACGGAGAGCCAGGGGGTGGGCGGACAGGAAGGCTGTGGCCCAAGGGATGAACTCCCTGAGGAAGGAGGAGGGATGGCTTGGAAGCTGGGAGATGGCTGTAACCAGGATCTGGACAGGCAGAGATGGAGGGAGGAAGGAACTTAAGGAGTTATATTCTGGAGTGAGATTTTGTACCTCTTACAATTGGGCCATTTTTTTTTAGGTGTTACTTTCCTCAGCATTTTTTGTGTCTCATTTACCAAACTGTTAACTCTCTTTTCATAATTTTCTTATACCATTCATTTCTTTTCCCAATTTTTCCTCTACTACTCATGTCTTCCTTTAACACTTCTAGCAATTCTTGTTTGTTTCAGGTCCAATTAGCATTTTTCTTTGAGGCATTGCTTGTAGCTGTTTCCACATTGTTTTCTTCTGAGTTTGTGTCTTGATCTGTGCCCCTGGATACTAACTGGCTTCCTGTTGGAAAAGAATGTGGCTTGTGCGTGTGTGTGCATGTGCGTGCGTGTGCGTAGGTGTGTGTGCATGTGTGTGTATGTGTGATGGCGGTGTTTAGGCATGGGTGTCAAGGCTGTCCCCAAGTGTTTCAAGGGCCCTTCCATGGATAAATTAGCCCTGTCCTGTTTGGTCCTTAGTTCAGAACAAGAGCCGGGGCAGGTCTAAGGTCAGCATTCCAAGGAGGCCCCTCGGAGCAGAGAAAAGGGTCCTTGGCTGGAGCAGGCCATCTGGGAGGGGAGTAAGCTCCCTCTCCCTGGAGGCCTGCCTTTCAGCCGAGGCTAGGTGAGCATCAGCCCATGGATTCCAGGGGAGATCCAGCCCCAAGATGGGTCTGAGCCAGCGGTCCCAGAACCTCAGATCAGAAAGCACCTCAGCATCCCCATTTTCACATCCCTGGCCTCTGCTTGGATACTTCCAAGGACAGGGAGCTCATTTCCAGCCAAGGATGGTCCACTCCCCTCTGGGAGCACACTGGGTGTTGGGGAGAGTTTCCTTGGATCGTGGCCCTGGCCAAAGTGTCTTCACCCAGCGGCCAGTCTGCTGGTCCAGCCTCGTCTCCCTGGGCTGGGCAGGTCCCGGGAGCCCAATAAACGGGACTTTTGTAGCTGGGAGAGTGAGGGCTCTTTTCCCGTTGTGTTCCCTGCCCCGGCTGCAACGTTGGGGCCCTCTCTGTAGTCACTGCTTCTGCTGCCTGCGAGAAGCTAGAGAAGGCCCGGAATGAGCTGCAGGCCGCGTGCCAGGCCTTTGTGGACAAGCTGAACCAGCAGCACCAGGCAGATCTGGCGGAGCTCGAGAGCCAGCTGAAGGCACACTACACGGGCGAGTGTGAGAAGCTGCAGAGCGCGTGTGTGCGGGAGGTCCAGAAGTACCAGGCCCAGCTGCAGAGTCAGGTCAGTGCCTTGGGAGGGGCCGGGCAGCTGGGGCCTGGGGAGACGGCTGCGGAGGCTGGTCAGAGCTGTCTGTGGCTCTCACAGCTCCCTGGGCCGGTCCTCTGCCTGAGCCTCAATTTTGTGGCTGGGTAAATGGGCCCATAAGAGGAATGTGCTTTTTCAGTCTTAATGCAGCATAGAAGTCCAGCTTGTCCCTGGGTTTGCTGTCGCAAAGCCCCGGGCCATCGTGCCTGCCGGCGAGCTCTGATGGGAGCTGCTGCTGCTCACTCGGTGCCGCGTCCACAGCCTGGCAGGGAGTTGGGTGCGGATGAGGAAGCAGGCTCAGAGGGAACGGGCTTCCCTCATGCATCTGGGTTTCCTGATTCTGAGACCCTATCACGCCCCGGGGCTTCCAGGCGGACTATGCCGCTGGAGTTTCAGCTTGCAGTGTCCCAGGTTAACCGAACTGTCTGTGGTGATGGGTGGGAGGCCCGAAAGGCATCATTCACTGGTCAGTGAGCGTTTATTACATGACCTCAGAAATCTCCTTATTCAGCCTCCTCGCTGACAGAGGAGGACGCTGCGGTCCACTGAGGCCGGGTGGGATTTGAACTCTGGTCCTCGGTTGCCAGATACCGGCATGCTGTGCCCTCCACCACACAGTCTCCACCTTGGCTTCTGCTGGGGAGGTCCACTGTGGTCATAGGCGGGGTTGGGTGGGGTGGGCCTTAACAGCTGGGGGACTGGGATTGGCCTCTGGGAGGAGGTGACCTTTGAGCTGAGCCCTGAGGAAAGCCAGGCTTCCAGGCAGAGAGGCAGTCTTGCTGCTCTGGGCTAGGTGCTTCCCCAGCCTCCATGAGTGGGAGCCCTCTGCCTCTCCCAGCAGCCCCCCTGGAGAGGAGGTCCTGCCTCGCCCCTGCCCAGATCAGCTACCAGAGGGCTCCCACTTGTTTCTGCTGGCTCTGCCCTCTTGCCAAGCTGAGGAGCTCAAACCCTTCTTCCGTGTCACCAACAACTGTCTCTTAGGTCCCCTGAGTCCTCTGCTGTCCCAGCTAACCCCCCCTCGCTCAGCGGAGCCTCTGACAGCATGGTACCGAGCCCCTGCCTCCACGTCTGGCGGCTGGCAGCTGGTCTGTGGGGGAGGACTGAGCTACATGGGCCCTCAGGCCGCAGGCAGACTCACCTCTTCTGCCCTGGCCTTAGAGGCCTGAGCATTGCCTGGGCAGCCCCGTGTGCGGATGGAGCAAGGCTTGAGGGAGGAGGCCCAAGGTCCAGAGGGTCGAGGCAAGTTGTCTACCCAAAGTGGACCTGAGGCCCGCTACCTGGCAGGCACTTCAGAAGTGATGGACAGTTGGTGTCCATGAAGCAGAACTGGGTCGTCAGTGTGTACACTGGCTACAAGTATAAAAGAGGAAATCGTGTGTGTGTGTGTGCGCACGCAAGTGCACATGCATGAACACACACACATACCACCCAAGTGCACACACGTACCCGCTCATGCGTACATATACACACGCCATGCAGGTGCATGCATGTGCACACACAAACCGGTGAGAAGAGGCCCAAGATAGTGAAAGGGGACACGGCACCAGGGAGTCACTGAGTTCCACATAGCTTTATGTTGGTCATTGGAAAAAAAAACCAAGCCTTAGTTATTAAGTTTAATTGGCTTTATTAGCATTTAAAATTAATTCACCCTAAAGCTCTGGTTTGAAGAAAGAGTGAAAGCTCACACTTCCTCCTCCCCACCTATTTCCAACGTGCCCCCCACCCCCACCCCTGCCAGAGAGAGCTGCACCCCCCCTCCCTCTAAGACTTGTTTAAGAATGTTTCTAACCATTGCAGCCAAGCTGGGGCCTTTTAATTTAATTTAATTTAATTTTTAACTTTTTTTAATATAGATTTATTTATTTTTAGTTTTCAGCATTCACTTCCATAAGATTTTGAGTTCCAAATTTTCACCCCATCTCACCCTTCCCCCCACCCCAAGATGGCATGCATTCTGAACAACCCTTCTCCTAGTCTGTCCTCCCTTCTATCTCTCCCCCCCTTTTTTTATTCCCTTCCCCTTCTATTTTCCTGCAGGGCAGGATAGATTTCTGTACCCCATTTCCTGTATTTCTTATTTCCTAGTGGCATGTGAAAGCATTTTTTTTAAACATGTGTTTTTAAAACTTTGGGTTCCAAATTTTCTCCCTTCCTCCCTCCCCACCCACCATCACTGAAAAGGCAAGCAACTCAGTATAGGTTATGCATGTGCAGTTATGCAAAACACTTCCATAGTAGTCGTGTTGTGAAATACTAACTCTATTTCCCTTAATCCTATCCTGCCCCAAGCTGGGGCCTTTTACTTTAATACACCAACACCCTTTCCTGGAGAATCTCAGTCATGTTCTATGGATGAAGACCTTCTGGTCCTAGTGGCCCACAGTCTGCTGAGGACCCACTTCCCCCCAGCCAGGCTGACCTGAGGCTGAGCCCAGGACAGGACGCAGCTGGACTTGTGTGCTCCCCAACGCATGAGGCTAGCGCTCAGATGACATCCTTGCTTTGATTCTGTGGGGTACCGCGGCTGTCTGATCCTGACTGACGGGGCGTTCCCTTTCAGGTTGATGACTTAAATGCTGCCCACGAAGCCTTCAAGTTAGAAGTCGAGTCCAGCCATTCGGAGCAAGTCGATTTGCTGAAGAAGGCTTACGAAGCCTCCCTCACAGGTAAGAAAGCTCTCACCTCCCCACACGTGGCCTGTCCCGGACCAGCATCACCTGCTGGCTCAGAGGGAAGCCGCTGGGTCACCCTCCTGAGAGCTGACGTGGCTGCTGCCTTCCTTAGCCTGGAGATGATCCGGGCTCCTCCTCACCATGCGGCCATCCGATGCTGAGTCCTTCCCTGGGGTGCAAACAGAGGGTTCTCTTCAGGGCTAGCCTGGGAGGCAGAACATTGGACTTAGAATGACCTAGAAGCCCATATTTGCCATGCTTTTTTTAGTAATTTGTTTTTGGTTTTCAATATTCACTTCCACAAGCTTTTGAGTTTTAAATTTTTCTCCCTCTCCCTCCCAAAGACAGCATGCAATCTGTTATAGGCTCTACATATACATCCCTATTAAACATATTTTCACATTAGTGATGTTGTAAGGAGGAATTAGAACCAATAGGAGGAGCTACCAGAAAGAGGAAACAAAGCAAAACAGAAGAAAAAAATAGCAAATAGTCTGCTTTGATCTTCATTCCAACTCCATAGTTCTTTCTTTGGATGTGGATAGTGTTTTCCATCATGAGGCCTTTGGAGATGTCTTAGATCCTTGCATTGCTGAGAAGAGCTGAGTCTTGTCAATGTTAGTCATCACACAATGATTTGCCATGCTTTTTTTTTTTTTTGGCTAGGCCATGGGGTTAAGTGATTTGCCCAGGGTCACACAGCTAGTAAGTGTTAATCCAGGGCCAGTGTTCTATCCACTGCACCACCTAGCTGCCCCCATTTGGTTTTTTGTCTTTTGGGGGGGGCAATTGGGGTTAAGTGACTTGCCCAGGGTCACACAGCTAGTAAGGATTTGCCATACTCTTAACCTGAATTTTATGGGCACTTTGAGACTGGCCCTTGGAGCACTGGAGAGGATGCTTGACTTGAGGTGAGGAAGACTCGAGTTCAAATTCAGCCTCAGACACTTAGTAGCTGTGTGACCTCAGGAGAGCCTCTTAACTTCTCTGTGCCTCAGTTTTCTTATCGGTAAAATGGGGATTAATAGTAGCACCTACCTCCCGGGGCTGTTGAGAGGCTTCACAAACCCTAAAGCAAGCTACGAATGCTAGTTATTTTCCTTGTTATCATCGTTGTCAATGTGACGTTTCTTGTCGTTTAGGAGGGGCCCCTTTTGTGAACCTGGAGGCCGGGCAGATGGGAATGGGAGTAGGCTTTTCTAAGTGGAGACATGCTTCTCTTGGCCATCAAGGCTCCCAGGCGGGTGGTCTGGGTCAGGGGAAGAGGGGGGAGAGATGGACACAGGCTTACAACCAGCTTCTCTTCTGCTCAGGCCCAGTGTCCATCCCTCCTGAGCAGGACTTTTTGGCTAAATGGGCTCAGGAGTGTGGCGGCATGAGCCACCACGGATTTGGTAAGAACAGGGATTGTTTCTGTTGGACTGTGCCCTTAGCCAGAGAGGGTTCCAGCCCATCTGCGGAGGGATGGACTCGTGTTCCAGATTGCGGGTTGATAAACATCTGTTAAGCACCTAGTTTGTGCCAAGCACATAGCTAGGCACTGAGGATACAAAAAGAGGCAAACAGTCCCTGCCCTTGAGGAGCTTATGATCTAATGGGAGAGACAGCGTGCAAACGAGCTTTGCTCAGGAAAGACGGAACAAATGAAGAGAGGGAAGGCCCCTCCCCTATCCTGAGCCCCACCCCCCCCAACCCCATTGAGGCTGGTGGTCCCTAGAGTGGGGATCCAAGTGACGTTTGTCCCTCCCTCATGGAAGTGTGGTCCAACCCACCCTCCTGTCCTGGTCTCTCATTAGCTTCCTCTCTTCCCATGTGGGGCAGAGATACTGGCAGGGTCTTTGCAGCCCGCTGGAGCCTGACAGGAGGGTTGTTACAATAGCGTGGGCGGAGGGTTCTAGTAGACTTACCAGGTGTGAGCACAGGCCTTGTTCACCTCCGCTTCCCTGAGTCCCCAGACCTTTTCTTCCCCTGTAGTCACACTGGGGACTCGCGTCAATGATACATTCTCCAAGCTGCCAAGTGTTTGGGGCCCCAGCCAGTTTGGAGAGCTCTGGCTTGGAGCCAGAGAAGCCCCTGAATGGAGTAAATGTGGGCTTGTTGCGGGGGTCACTTCGAGGCCGGGCTGGGTCTCTCTGGATGGAGGTCACTGGCCTCAGGAATATCACCTCTTTTCAGAAATCAAGGAGTGCCATGACCTGGAGAAGACGTCCCTGGAGGAGCTGTTCTCTGAAAAGCGCGAGTCGCTGGAGGTGAGCGACGCCCCAGACCAGGCCCCTGGCCTGCAAGGGTAGACCTAGGGGTCCCTCATTTCATGACCGGTTTTCTGCTACCTTGGATGTCCTATGTCATCTCTGTCTTGTTTGTAGAAAGAGATCCACGATCTGAAGGGTAAGAACGATGCTCTGAATGAAAGGCTCCAATTGGAGGAGCAGAAAGCGGTTTCCAGAGAGAAGGCCAGCCAGGTGAGTGATGCCCAGAGGCTGCGGCCTGGGGGCAGGGACGGAGGGCAAAGCCTGGCACCTGGGGACGCATAGCTGCAGCAGCTCTGGGAATGTCTGTGCGGGGGAGGGAGCCTGTCTGCGGCAGCTCTGGGGATGTCTGGGGGGGCTGTCTACAGCAGCTCTGGGGATGTCGGGGGGGGGCTGTCTATAGCTGTCTTGAGGATACCTGTGGGGAAACCTGTATACACTGGCTTTGGACATGTGTCCGGGTGGGGGTTGTCTATGATGTCTTCAGGGATGTGTCTGGGGGGATCCCTTTCTACAGCAGCTTTAGGGATGTGTTGGGGGAGTCCTTGTCCACACCAGCTTTGGCGATGTGTTTTTGAGGGGACCTGTCTACAGTGGCTTTGGGGATGTGTCTGATACGACAGCAGAAATGAGCAAAGTAGGCCAGTGTCAGACAGGCTTGGAAAAGCTGCTCTTCAAACCTGACCTAGGAAAAATTCATCTCAACTCAACACACAGCACCTCCAGGCTCCCCAGGGCTGGAGGAGATACAAGGTTTCAGTTAGGCCCCATCCCACTTTCATTGTGCTTCGGAGACTGACCTGGGCACCAATGAGTGTGATACAAAGTAGTGAGTTGGAAAGAGGAGAGCAAGCCACGAGCTGTGAAGGGTCCCCATTGGTGGGTTCCTGCAAGAGGAGTGTTGCAATGTGATTTAGAAGAGGAATAAAGAGCAACAGAGAGAAAGGTGGGGGATGCCATTCCCCACAGAGGGACCTATTGGTGCAGAGATGCTGAGGTAGAGAAGTGTGTACGAGGAAAAGCAAATGGTCCAAAATGGGAGAATAAAGAGGGAATAGAGGGAGAGTGATAAGACACAGGGCTAGAAAGGTAACAATGTGGAATGCCAAGCCAAAGAGTAGATAGAGCTTTGCTTGGTAGGGACTAGGGAGCGACAGAAGAATTTTGAGTGCAAGAGTGACCCGAGCAGACTAAGCGTATGAGGAAAATGATTCTGGCAGCATACGAAGGATAAACTGGAAAGATGAGAGAGCAGAGGGGAGAAGGCCTATGCGAGGGTGGGGGTGGCAACTGGAATAGAGGCAGAGTGACCTCATGGAAAAGCTGCCAGGCTAAATATCCAGAGAGAGCTGACTCCTCATATTTATCTGTCCGTGTGACCTTGGGTGAGTCATCTCACCTCTGTAGACCATTTCCTCATCTCTGCTGAGAGAGCGGCCTCAACCATAGAATTGCTGATCCAGAGCTGGAATGGAGCTAAAGATGGCTATGCCAATCCCCTCATTGTCTGATGGAGCCACCAAGGGTCAGGGAGAAAAGTGACTTGCCACATAGCAAGTAGTTGAGCCAGGATTTGAACCCGGGTCCTTGGACCAGGTCTCTTCTCCTTGTGCCTTGTAGTTCCCTAATGTCTCCCAGGTCCCTTTCAGCTTTCAGGTGTCTGGTGATGCAGCTTGGACAGCTTTTCCTTGAACTGACTCTTTGGGGGGCGTGGATGATGGAGTGCTTTGTGGCCTCCTCGTGGCCAAGTGCAGGCTTTTCCAAAGAGGCTCCGTGTCCTTTTCCTGTGACCCCTGTCCCTTCCCATGCCCCAGCTCCAGTGCTGACAGTTGAGCTGGGAAAGCCTGCCCCCTTATGTATCAGAAGAGGAGCTGAGGCTCTGGAGTTGCCCCTGACCTGGAAGGCAGAGCCCAGTGGTGAGCAGTGTCCTGCTTTGAGTCACTCTCCCTTTGTTTCTGATTGGTTTCTGAGCAGTCAGTGTGCCCGGGCAGAAGTGCCCTGGACATAGGCCTAGGTTGGGGGTCCCAGCATGGCCTTTTACTTGCTGGGTGACCAGGGCAGTCACTTCACCACCCAGTGCCTCAGTTTCCCAAGCTGTACACTCAGGGTGTTACTACGGGGGCCTCCTACCTACAAGCATTCTGTAAATGGCGATGTGTTCTGAGTGGGGGGGGCAACATCTTTGGCTGGAGACCCAGCCTGACCTTGGGGCTCTGTCCACTTGTCTCTGCAGAAGAACCCCCAGATCATGTATCTGGAGCGAGAGCTGGAGAGCCTCAAGGCCGTGCTGGAGATCAAGAATGAGAAGCTCCACCAGCAGGACATCAAGCTGCTCAAGATGGAGAAGCTGGTGAGCTCCCTCCCCTTGGGCGCAAGAGCCTCTGGGCAGGAGGGCCACCGTGTGGCTTCTGCACTAGGAGGATAGGCATGCGCATGTGGGGATGGGCCTTTTCCACCAGCTGTGGCCGGCCAGGGTCCTTGCCCACTGCTGAGAGGGAAGGCACACAGGGCACTGACATTGGTATTGTCAAACTCTTCTGTTCTTTGTACGCTAGCGGGAGAATGGGAGGATGCCAGAACCAGCTGTAAGTGGCCTGGGAGGGTCCAGCTCGCTGAGAAGTTGTGACCTCCGTGGCTCTGGCAGCCTCTGCCTTGGAGCGTGTCCGTCAGCCCAAGTGGGGGCGGGCTGGGGAGGAAGACCACAGCTGGTGCGGGCCTGGCCTGTCTGTGCTTGCCTCTGGCTGGCACCAGCTGGTGCCCAGGCTGCCCCAGTCACCAGGAGGCTGGTTCAGATCTGGAGCAGGGCTGTCACAAGAACAAAACAACCCCAACAAAGACACCAGCTCCCACGTGTGGTCTCACCCTTCGGTTGGGCAGCGCACTGATCCGTTGTGGGGGAGCAGCAGGCAGGCAGGCGGGCAGGCAGCCAGCTGGCTTTGGCCTCAGAAAGCCCGGGGTCAGCTCCTCCTGCTGGCTGACCCACCTGCCTGCTGGGTGTGTCGCCCCAGCCCCTCCCCACAGGAGGGTACCCCCATAATAATAGGGTCTTAGGGCTGGCCCCTGCTCCCCACCTCATTTGGGAAGCTCAGGTGCCAGGCCTTCTCCTCCTGGCAAGGTGAGCAGGGAGGAGTCTGAGCCCAGATGTGTGGAACAACCATCGGCCTCTCTCCTGGGGAGCAGTTTGCCTCCTTCCCAAGCATCTGAGCGGCACAAGGAAGCCCAGAGGAAAGGGTCTAGGGCAGCCTTGCCCCTTGTTGGACACTCCCCCAACATCCGGTGGGAGGAAGTGTGGAGCTAGGGGAAGCATGGGACCGAGGGCTGGCAGGACTTGGTCACCCCTGCCCTCGTGGGGCATCGCCATTGGCCATCCATTGGCATCAGTGTCTGGAAGTGCCAGGCAGGCCTCAGGCAGCCGATGGGCCCCACGTGGACGTGGTCAGACCCCTCCATTCTTTGTGGGTAAGGATTGTGAGTGGGAAAGTGGTCTGGCTGCCCCAGGAAGGGCTGAGTGACGCTTCCTGGGAGGGCTTCAAGCAGAGGTAAGAGGGCCACTTGGCAGAGGATTCTTGGTTTGGCCTAGCTGGGAATTGAGGTCTCTGCCAGGTCTGAGATGCAGTGACCTAGACACTCACCTAGCAGTGTCTACTTTCATATGGGCAGCTTCCTGCTTAACATCACCAGAGGCTGCGGCCCTTTGGTGCTGTCAAGTTCCCTCCACGGTGAATTTAGCTGCATGTGCCAAGCTCTGGGTGGGCAGGGGTCGGGGTTTATCTTTTCCCAAGAAGTGCATGAGTCTGACCACTGGCTGCTTTGCACCAAGGTGGACAACAACACAGCACTGGTGGACAAGCTGAAGAGGGTGCAGCAGGAGAATGAGGAGCTGAAAGCACGAATGGACAAGCACATGGCCATCTCCAGGTGAGATCCCCAGCTCTGACCTCCAGACCTCCCTGCCTGTTCCCCTGGCCCATCGAGCCCCTACCGGAAGTCAGAGCTCCTCTCCCCTCTCCCTTCTCTTCTCCCCTCCCCTCTCTTCTCCTCTCCTCTCCTCTCCGCCCTCTCCTTTGGCTTCTACGGGGCCCAAATCAGTTACTCCATGTTGTCAGGTATTCCCTTTGGATTACAGACCTCTGTGTTGGACACCCATGTATTATTCCTGTTCCCTCCCTCTCCCTTAGGCAACTCTCTTCGGAGCAAGCTGTCCTGCAAGAGTCCCTGGAGAAGGAGTCCAAGGTCAACAAGAGGCTGTCGATGGAGAATGAGGAGCTGCTGTGGAAGCTTCACAACGGGGACCTGTGCAGTCCCAAGAAGTCCCCCTCCTCCGCGGTGCTGCCTTTCTCCTCCCCGAGGAATTCTGCCTCCTTCCCCAGCCCCACGGGCTCACCCAGATGACCCTTCTGGAGCACGGGCTGACAGCTGCCTGAGAGCGCTTTCCAGTGGCCGGCCGGGGGACTGACCCTTCTATCAATCATGGCCAGTGCAGGCCTGTGAGGGCACTTGGGTGGCAGCTGACTCGGCCCACTGGAGCCCATGGACAGACAGGCATGGTTCCTCGGGCAGCCTTGACTCCTGCCAGTCCTGCGAGGTTTCAGGAATGCCACCTGCGCAGGCACGCAGGGAGAGACATTGATGCACAGAGCACTTGGCGAGCCAGATGCATCTTGCTCGCTGCCTTTCTCCCCCGCCTGGGGGGAACCAGCTCAGGGGCCTCTTCATGTAGAGTATAACCTTTCTCATGTTCTTGTCACAGACACTTTTTCTGGGGCCACCTGTGGGCTTGTGGGACTGGGGTGGGCATGGCTTGCTAGTGCCCCACCTTTGGCTCTGGAGGGGACGCAGAGAGCTGCAGGATGAGCAGGGACACACAAGCGGCTGTGCCAGGGACAGCCTCCAGGACATCTTGGCCATGGACACCCTGGGGGAGGGGGGAGGATGGGGACCCTGGCTCAACGCCTTGGGGCCTGCATTCTGGGGAGGATGGGCCCTTCAGATGGAAAGACCAGCTCTGAGAACTGAAATGAGGGCAATGTTCTCTAGTTGTCAATGACCTCCACCCTCCAGATAACACAAGTCACTGGCTTCTGGTTCATCTTTTTAGCTACGGACAGAGGTGGAACACTGTGTCTCCCTGGATCCCCAGGAATAAGGCCTCTTCCAAGGAAGGAAGAAGGGGCAGGGATCCCCCTGGAGCCCCAACCTCCTCCTCATTTTTAGCTTGCTCTGAATAGTCACCCATAGATGGGAGCTACCTCTCCCCTCCTCTCTTCCCCTCCTCTTTCTCCTCTCCCTTTTCTTCCCTCTCCTCCCCCCCCCTCCTCCTCCTCTCCCCTCTTTCTCCTCTCCTCTCCCCTCTTTCTCCTCTCCTCTCTTTCTCTTCTCCTCTCCCCTTCCCTCCTTTCCATCTCCTCCCCTCCCCTCCCTTCTCCTCCCCTCTAAAGCCATGACATAAGCCTTCTACCTCCTTTTCTCTGGGACAAGGGTAATTAGTATGCTCACTCAGAACCAGCTCATTTTCCAGGCACAAGTCATTTCCCAAAAAATCCTGAGGCCAGACTCTGTAAACTATTGAAAAATTCAGAACTAGTTAAGTTGGGGAAGCAATGAGGGAAAATCATTGATTAGCAAAATTTGGGAAGAGGCCAACCATACCCCTGTGCTCAGGGGCAGAAACGCCATGATGTGCTAGGAAATGAGGTATTGGCTAGAATGAGCCAGCTGGGAGCCCCAGCTAGCAGCTCGAGGTCTGTCTTGGAGAAATTCTGGGGAGAGGGCAGGGGGGGCCCATGTCAGAGCAGAAACCCTGGTTTGTGCAGTTGTCCCTTTCTAACTTCTGTGAGAGACCTTCCCCAGCTCCTCCAGGCACCCTAGGGGCCTGGATGAGCAGGGCTGTGTTTTACCCGAGTCTTTGAATCTGTTGCTGTGGTGCCAATGAGCCGGGCGTCCAGGAACCCTCCAGGAGCCGCCACGTGGACTTTGGACACCAGGGGGCGAGTTGAAGTTCAGGAGGCATGTTGATTTGTAACAATTCCTTCTTTTGTCTCATGTTTAATCTCCAGTGTTCTGCTGTAATGCCTAATCTTTCCAGTTGTAGGGATGGTTGGAAAGCCAGCTCCCTTCAGGCTCCACGTGGGAGTCGGGGCTGCTGGAATCTTTGCACCCCTTGGAGCTGTCCTTGGTCTGGCCAGTTCCGGGGGCCATGGAAGGCTGCTGCAGGGCTCAGGGGTTGCTCCATTCCTGAGTCAGATGGGAGACAGCAGCAGAGGAGGAGGAGGACAGCTCTTTGGAGATGCTTTTCCAGGTCCACGTTGCAGGATGGTGCTGAGAAGAGGCACGCAGGCCTCAGCGTGGCCTAGGCTGAGCTCCCCCTATTATGCCCACCTGTACTGTCCTCCCCCATAGTCTTGTCTTCCACCCTGTCAGGCCCATCACTTAGGAGAACCCCGCCCCACCCCACCCTAGGCATTTTGAATTCGGTCCTGAAAGCTGGGTCCTAGGGGCTAGAATTGGACCCTGGCAGCTGGCTGGTCCTCAGAGCTTCTGCTTGCTCTGAATTGGGGGGCTGGGGCTTGGGAAGGAGCTGATGTATTTTGATTTGTGTGTGTTAAGATAATAAAATTTTGATTTCACTTTCTTGTTGCTGCCCATTCTTCTGTGCTTCTCGAAAAATGAGCCACAGAAAGTGGTTGAAGTGTGACTGTTGGGGGGATTTAAGTAAATGAGCCCTGGGGCTTGAGGGCTAGGATGCTCCGGGTGACACTGGGGGCGGACCTCACTGGCTAGGATTTATCTGGGGGTCCTCCTGGCCTGAGGGTTCAGAGTCTGCCACCGCGGCTTTAGGTTCCAATTTTGTTCCCGTGGATTGGGGAGGCTGTCACACAGAGGAAAGGTCGCTGGCTTTAGGAGGAAGACCACGTTCAAATCGTGTTCTGAAGCTCCTGCCTGTGGGACGGTTGGGCAGGTCTCCACCTCTGCTGGGCCTTGCTTCTTCCATAAGCAGGGATGGTGGGTTAGGTGACTTCTCAAGTACCTTTCAGCTTTAATAGCCTATGAGCTGTGACGCTCTACCAAGAATTTGGGGTAAAAGTTAGTCCGTTTTCCCTGGAAGGAGCCCAGTGGAGCATGGTCCAGACAGTACAGGGCTTGGTGACCTGGGATGGTCTCCCTGCTCAGACGCTGACAAACTAGGTAGTTGGAGCAAGTCACCTCTAGCCTCTGTTCTCTTATCTGTAAAATGGGCCAGTAACCCTAGGCTGCACCTCAGGGTCCTGGTAAGGCGAGGGGGTCTGCCAGGATAGCACTCTGCTGTCACTAGGGGCCCAGGTGTGAGGTGTGAGTCAGGGTTCCAGCCCTGCCCCATCCATTTGACCCCTTGCGTTCCTGAGCCACCTTGCTTAGAGCAGCCACCCTCTATTGGTAGGTCCCAATATCCTAGAGAAGAGCGGGGCAGGCCTTGGTGTCCTGGTGGGCCCTGCCAGGGCTTAGACCACAGGGCCAGCCCCATGCCCAGATCCAGGGATCATGGAAACCAATCAGAAAGTGGGCTCAAACTCTCTGCCCCAGCACCACTAACAGGAAGTAGCTGTGGGTCCCATGGGGTGGCTGGCCACCCAGCTTAGCCCAAGGCTACTCAAGGCATTTACCTTTGAAACAAACTTGACGTTTTATTCAGTGATTACATTGCTCAACTCCATACATGTGAGTGTTCATTCAGGACCAAGAGTCAGAAGCACATAAATGGAAGAAAGCCCCTTCAAACCATATCTTACGGGAGACATGACGACAGGGGAGACCATGCTCCTGTACCTTATGGCTTCTGGTCTGCTTGGGGCCCTTGTCTGAGACCTACACACAAGGATAGAAAGTTTGGCAGCAGCCTTTGGCTAAGCACAGATCCAAATAAGCTGGCAGAGCTGTGACCACCCTGCCTCAGTTTCCCCATCTGTAAAACGGGGGTCACAATAGCACCTACCTCCCAGGGCACTTGAGAGGCCCAAAGGAGACACTATTTGTAAAGCACCTTGCAAACCTCAAATGGCTACATCAACGTCAGCTGTTAGTGTTCGGAGTTCCCTCTATGAGCCCAGGCCTTTGAATGACTGACCCTCCACGCCCCGCCTGCCTCAGGAAAACTGCACGGTGGTGGCTACGGTGGTCTGCCCGTGCAGGTTCTGAGCTGTACACATGTAGTAGCCGGCGTCGACGGTCTCAAAGTCCCGCAGCATGAGGACGCTCTGGGACAGCCGTGTGGTGCGCCCGAGGCCTCGGCTGACCAGTCTCCACGTGTCCTGGATCGTCACAGGCCTTTCATCCTGTTTCATAAAAGAGGGTGCATGTGGGTGCCTGAGACAGACGGGAGGCGCCGGGAGCCCTGGGGAGCAGAGGCCAGCCAGGGGGCTCAGCACACCGCAGTCCTCGTAGGCTATACGCTCTTGAGGGCGACTATCCCAGGTTCTCGGGACTTTGAGAGCCCACCTCCCCTAAAACCACAGCTCACGGGCTCCCTGGAGCCCTGGGACAGAGGAACAACTGGAGAAACTCTGATGGTCAGCAACGCAGCGAGCCCACCCTGGTGACCACAGACTTCTCGGGGCACTGGAGTGCCCAGAGGAGGCGGGGGAGCAATGTCACAGGGTCTAGGTCTGGTCCTTGGCTTTGCCGTTTACTACCTGCACAGCTCTTCTCCGAACCTCAGTTTACCCATCTATAAAATGAGGCCACTGCTATCTAAGCTCCCACCTCGCTCTAAATCCTTCGGCGCGGTGGATTAGAATCGCATTTATTCACTTACGTGCTAAGCACTGACGTTCTAATGAGAGGAGCCGGTAGCAGAGGAGGGTGTTGAGGGCGGAGCAGCGCGGTGGCTGGGCGGCGCTTACCTTCAGCCCTGGGTAGATCCACCGAAATTCCACCTCTACGTCCGGCTCGCCCAGGACAGTGCACAGGACCGTGATGTCATCCCCACCGCTCACTCTGCTGGAGGAGGCCACGATGGTGGTGGAGGGGGGCCCACTGGGGACTAGCAGACACACGATACTCAGTGAGGGGCATACGAGGAGCAAAACAGAGCTCAAACCCTGGCCTCAGTGGGATTTGAACCCAGGTCTCAGAACTGCCCGTCTAGCGCTGATTTGCTTCGGCCCCCTCCTTTGGGTCCAACTTAACACAGGCTTCAATGCCCTGGAGGGAATCGATGTCTAAGCACCCCCATCAGCTCTCAATCCCATAATGCCATCGCTTTACAAGGCAGCCCAGAGGAGAGGCAGCTGCACCACCTGAATGAACTGGGTGTAGGTGAGTCAAGGTAGGCAAAGATGTGCAAGGGCAGCGTATGTGTGGGGCTAGCCAGGGGCGCACGGCATGTGAGGACAGGAGGCGAGTGAGGGGACCGTGCAAGAGATAACCTCCGAAGGGAAGTCTGAAATAGCCTGAGGGAAGGGGCATGGCCCGTCGGCTCCTCTAGGCTGAGGTAGTGAGCTCCCCGTCACTCCAGGTGCTCAAGTCCGTTTGGCTAAGATGTGGTGGAGGGGGCTCCTGTTTGGGTCTGGGTCGGATCTGGGGCCTCTGAGCTTTCTTCCACCTCTGACATTCTGTGGTTCTGAGGGCTACAAGCACTTTGCCCCTGTTCCTCGGTTCTCTGAAAAGTGGTAAGCTTCCACCCCACAGAATGGTTCTTTGGCCATTAATTCCAAGCACTCCCTCCCTTTTTGAGAGAAGTCCCCTAAGCATTCTCTGCCTCAGTGTCTCCCTCTGTAAAATAAGCATGGAGGAGCTGGAAAGCGCCTCAGGGACCACCCTAGCCAACCTGTACCTGGCCAGGAATCCCCACCCCAACATCCCAGATAAGCGGCAATGCAGCTTCCCCTTGAACACAGAGACGGGGAGCTCACTAACTCATGGAGCAGCCCTTCCACTCTTGACTAGAAGATAACCCACTTTCCCTAAACCTCCCACAGGTGAAATCAGGCAATGCTGACTCTCTGGAAGAAGTTTCAGCATAGCTCTTACCTTCCACGTAGAGCAGCTGGTATTTGATGGAAATCTGGGGGGCCCCATGGGCCTCTGCCCGGCAGTAGACCACCCCTTGGTGCTCAGGCTGAGGGTGCAGGTAGACAAAGCCCCTCTTCATGTCATAAACGATGCTCCCATTGCTTTGGATCTCTTTAGCTGGGAACTCCCTGTGCAGGGTGACCCTGGCTGATGGGACGGTCACGCGGCAAGGGACCACGGCTTCTCTGTCTGGGTTGAGGTAGACCACGCCAAAGTAGCTGGGAGACGGCACAAACAGCTCGCCTTTCTCTGTGAAGGGAAGCGCGTGCACCGTGGTTACCCAGGGTCACCCACCCAAGGCCCTCCAGTGAGAACAGTGCTCAGGGGAGGGCCACGCAGAAGGTTGGTTCTGTTAGGAAAGAAAACCACGTTCCACCTTCCATCTCTCCTCTGCGGCAGCCAGTGGTATTCCCGGCTATTAAAAGGAAGACCAATAGTATTTTTTTTAGTTTTTTTATTGATACCTATTGATTTCTATATCACGTCCATTTCCTAATGTATTTCCTCTCTCCCCCCTCCCCCCCAGTTATGGCTTGTAACAAAGAAGAGAGAAGAATGGGGGCAGGGGAGAGAAAGCAGTTTGGCAAAACTAGACAACACATTCACCAGGTCTGATGGTGTATGCAGTGTCTGGCACCCAGGGACTCCCGCCTCAGCAAAGCAGGGAGGGGCAGGAGGTCCACTCTCTCCTCCCTTCTTTGGGACCACTTCTGGCCCCTAACTGTACAGGGTTTGGTTTTTTCCCATCGTTGTGACCGGTCTTTCTTTTATGTTTTGGAGTTTTCATCTCTATTGTTTTCTTCGTTCTGATGACTTCTTAGTATTCCCGGTGCTCACTCTTTCCTGTAACACAAGGAGGTGTTACCGCACCCACACACCACAACTTGTTAGCCATTCTCCACACGTGGCCAGCTACGTGGTTTCTGCCTCTGCTACTGCAGATGTGCTACCGTGACTATTTCAGCGGATGGGGGAACTTCCTTCCTTCTGTGGGGTATGTTCCTGGCAGTGGAATCTATGGACCTAAGGATGGCTGTTGTAGTCACCTCCTTCACATAACACCCAATGGCTTTCCAGAACGGTTGGACCAATCCACAGCCCGCCCCTCCAACACTGACTATCTGTCATCTCTGCCCTCAAAGACAAAACCCCAGAATTCTATGAATTTACATTTCTCTTACCGCAGTGATTTGGAGAAATCTTTTTAATTGGTATTCTTCCTTTGAGAATAAAGGAATACTTCTTCAAGAGCCTGCCAAAGTATATCTGTTGGAGTAAGTTGGAGGAGCGACATGGAGTTTGGCTTTTAATTCCAATATGGTGGCCCCCATTTATGTGTTCATCCCTTTCACAAGCTAGGCTCTTCATGTTCATCAAGGTTGGTCCTATGATGATCCGTGTATTGCTGGAGGCTCGGCCGAAAGTCGTTCTGGTTTGAAAGGACATGGTGTAGGCTTCTGGGGTGCTGAGGGCCACCCTATGTAGGGGAGGAAGATGTCAGGGAAGTTGCAGCATGTTACTGGAGGGATGGCAGGAGACACCATCACTGGTGTCAATGACTAAAAGAGGCGGTGGGCTGGTCATGTGTCCAAAATGGCAGGAAGTCCTGAAGCAGGTTGGGCATTATTGAATCTCTGAATTGGGGGGGCCTCTGAGGCATATAACCCGACCCACCCCTCGACAGGTACGGTTCCCCTCTATATCCCAAGAAGTGCTGACGCAGCCTCTGCTTCAAAATGCCCAGTGATGAGAAGCTCACTACATCTCAAGATGCCCATTCCGCTTTGGAATTGCCCACCTCGTTGGTCAAGTCTTCATTCCATCGAGCCCAAGTTTTGCTTCTTTGCTCTTTCACCCTGGTGGTCCTCGTTCTGTCCCACTGGGACCAGTCTTGTCTCTTCCACATGACTGATATCCTTCCCATGCTTGCAGATGCTTGTGCTTCTCCCCCCCTGCCCCCCACATCCCCCAGTCTTCTCTAGGCCAAACACCCAGTTGTCGTATGCCCTCAAAGATCTTGTGATGTGGTCCTACTATGTGAGGAAAGGATGAAGCAAAGATCTTTGGCTATGGTGACCTCACAAGAGCTCCTAGGTATGCCAGGGTAGAGAAATTACTTCATTACAAATCACCCCAGTAACAACCCAGCCTGGAGTTAACTGCACACAGTCAGCCTGCACTGCACACACCAACAGGTGCAGGTACGGGGAGGAAAGTCTAAACCTGAGGTTTGTGGCCACCTTCCTCCAACCCTCCCACCTCACTGGGAGGAAGCAGGACAACTGCTGCTGGTCTCATTTTGTACAAGAGGGGATCGAGACTCACTGGCAGGGACCTCCTAGGCCAAAGGACCCCCAGCTGAGCTAGAGGGACGGCTGGACTTAAACATGGGGCGCAGGACTACAAGCCTGGTGCTCCTCCATTGGGCATGTTATGGAACAGTCGTCACTTTGGACTCTGAGAAGCCCACAACGACCCTGCAGAGGAGGTGGGGTGGGCATTGTTACCCCTTTTTACAGGTGGTGAAACCGAGGCTCAAAGGAGTGATGTAACCTGATCAGAGGGACACCAGGGGCTGAGGGTTTTATCACCTTCCTTTCCCACTTACCTCTTCTCTCTGGTCCGAGGGTCTTTCAGGTGCACATCAAGGTGGCTTAGGGGAAAGAGCCCCAGCCTTAGAGTCAGGAAGACCCGAGTTCAAAGCCTACCTCAGTCACTCCCATGCATGATGCAAAATGCAGAGATAAAGTTACAGGGTCTGATAATATGGGCCTGACTCCAAGGCCAGCAGTCTGTCTGCTGGGACAGCGGGCCATGCATGTGCGAGAGGAGGGACTGAACTTGGATAGAGATGGGAAAAAGGAGGAGTTTGGGAAACAGAGCACAGACCTAGGCCAGAAGCATGAGCAAGTGGATTTTATCTGGACACTGACTCCTGTCCCTTCTCTCTCTCTCCCTTCTCTGTCTCTGTCTCTGTCTCTCTCTCTCTCTCACTCTGTCTCTCTCTCCTTTCTGTGTCTCTGTCTCTCTCTCTGTCCCTCTCTCTCCTCTGTCTCTCTCTGTCTCTCTTTCTGTCAGTCTGTCCCTCACTCTGTCTCTGTCTCTCTCTAGCTCTGTCTCTGTCTGTCTCTCTGTCTCTGTCTCTCTTGTTCTCCCTCTCCCCTCCCCAAATCAGGAAGATAATGTTTGACTTTAATTATAAAGTTAACTTTCACCAGGTGGAGGGTCCCCTGTGGGGCCAAATCCTTCTTCCACATTATGACCTCCAAAGCCTTGGAGGCCCCTCTCATGTCCCCCCTCCCCAACCAAGTCTTCTCCAGCCTGGTGAGCCCAGCTCCTCCTCTCCCAGGTCTCCAGTCTCCTTAGCATCTTGGGTCTATCTGGAGTTCCCTGGGCCTCAGTTTCCTCTTCTGTAAAGCCAGTCCCCCACCCCTGCTCGCAAGGCTGTGAGCGCTTCTCTCTGTTCACGGCTGAGCCTCTCAGAGCTCTGGGACAGGAAGCAGGTTGGGGGCTCATTCCACAGCCACAAAGGCCATCTAAAACCCCCAACTGGACCTTGAGCTGCAGCTGAGGGTGGGGCGGGGTGGGGGTGTCAAATCTACCTTTTTTCAAGGGACATAAAGTTGCAGGAGTGCCCCCCCAAACCCCCCCACAATTCTCTAACTGGATCAAATAAGGTAATATGATTATCTCATGTGAGAAGGTGGGGGGTAGTGGAAGGAGTCAGAGGGCCTGGGTTCAAATTCTGACTTTACTTACTACCTTAAGCAAGTTACTTCAATTCTCTGTGCCTCAGTTTCCTCATTTGTAAAATGTGTATGTGATCAGCTCAGGTGACCCCTAAGCTCTCTTCTTGCTCCAGATCTGTGACCCATGAAGTGATCACGCAGCGTGAGGACGGCTCTGGGGCTGAGGCCCCTGCCATCTTCCCCATCTCTGGGGTGGCTTCTTTGCCTGGCTGGGGAGTCCTGAGGCTGATGGGAGCCTAAGCCCTCACTGCTCATCCCCAGGAGCTGCAGTCCCCCGTGGCCTCCCTGTGGCTGGCCAGTGTGGCCTCAGCTGGGTCCACCATCCAGGGCCTTCGACTTTGCTTGGCACCGCCCCAAGAAGCCAAGGAGCTGGGTGGAGTGAGCCTGGGAGAGCCCGTGGCTGGGACGACGGCCCGGAGCAGCCGTGGGCGCCAGCTGCGGCTTACCTGTGAAGAAGATGTACGTGGCTCCCGTCTTGGTGTCGTCCTTTCTGCACACGTAGCCGGTGCACACCTGCAGCCAGCAGCTGTATTCCCCGGTGTCCGCAGCCGTGGCGTTGGCCAGGATCAGCTGCCCGTACCGCTCATGTTGCCTCACACTAGGGACCAAGCAGACGTGCGGTGGGGTCAGACCTAGGTGAGCACAGGGGCTCCTCCTCTGCCCCTCCCCCAGGCTTCTCTGGGGGGCCCCGAGCCGCCTTTGCTGAGGACATTGCTCCCAATGGAAGACATCCAGTATGTCCAGGGGAGAGGAAGAGGAAGAGGAAGGAGAGCCTGGGTGGAGAGGGGAGTGACTTTCATTTCCAGCTCTTAGAAGAAAAGGGTGTGGGAGAGTCATCTTTGCTTTAAGGAAATCATAAATAAGAATTGTTTTTAAAGGAAAGAAACTCCCCAGAGACTTCCAGGAGGAATTTATTAAGTCAGAGCTGTACTCATTGCTTTTGGCAAGAGCAATTTCACCAGTTCAAGATGGCCTCTGAGGATGGCACTGGGATTTCTGGAGAGGAGTGAGGGGCTCTGGGGCCTCCCATCCTTCACTTCACCAGCGACCAGGGTCCCATCCAGCAAGGGCTGTGGTATGGCTCCCTTTCTCTCTTCTGCTGGACACTGACCTTGCCCCCAGTCCCGCCTCTTCAGTGGAGAAACCAAATTCTTCCCTCCACTTAGAGCCCAAGGCCTGCACTGCTCTCCTGGTCCTGCTCACTTCCCTCTGCATCCATTCATGTAAGGCTTTCTAGGTTTGCCTGAAAGCATCGTGCTCGTCACTTCTTATAGCACAAGTGTCAGTCATTCCATTCATGCCCGACTCTTTGTGACCCCATCAGGGCTTTCTCTGCCATGTCCTTCTCCAGCTTATTTTACAGATGAGGAAACTGAGGCAAACAGGGTTAAGTGACTTGCGCAGGGTCACACAGCTAACAAGTGTCTGAGGTTAAATCTGAACTCATGTCTTCCGGGCTCCAGGTCCAATGGCCCTAGCACAGTAGCATTCTATCACAATCATATACCACAACTTGCTCAGCCATTCCCCAACTGATGGGCATGCCCTCAATTTCCAATTCTTTCCCACCACAAAGAAAGCTGTTGTAAATATTTTTGTACATGTGGGTCCTTTCCCACTTTCTTTGATCTCTTTAGGGCATAGATCTAGTAGTGGTATTGCTGGGTCCACAAGTCTGCACAGTTCCATAGCCCTTTGAGCATAGCTCCATGTTGTTCTCCAGAATGACTGGACCATTCACAGGTCCACCAACAATGCATTAGTTTAATGGTTATCCTACGTCTTTTCCAGAATGTGTCATTCTAGCTTATCTGATGGGTGTAAGGTGGTATCTCAGAGCTGTTTTAATTTGTATTTCTCTATTTATTGGGGACACAACATTTTTTCATATGACTGCTGACATCTGAAAACTGCCTGTTCACATTATTTGTCAGTTGGAAAAATGGCTCTTATTTTTATAACTGTGACTTAGTTCCTTATATATTTGAGAAATGAGGCCTTTATCAGAGAGATTTGCTATAAAAATGTTTCTTTCCCTGTTTCCTACTTTCCTTCCAATTTTGTCTGCATTGATTTTTTTTTGTTCAAAATATTTTTTAATTTCATGGAATCAAAATTATTGAAGCATCTAGGTAGAGCAGCAGGTAGAGTACCGGACCTGGAGTCAGGAAGACCTGAGTTCAAATCTGGCCTCAGATACTTCCTAGCTGAGTGACCCTGGGCAAGTCATTTAACCCTGTTTGGCTCGGTTTCCTCATCTGTAGAATGAGCTAGAGAAGGAAACCACTCCAGTATCTTTACCACGAAAACCCCAGATGGGGTCACAGAGAGTCAGACAAGACTGAAATGGCTGAATAATAGCTATCTAACTAGTCCATACAAAATAGATTAAAACCTGGAATCTGACAATAGGCTCAGGACTGGACTCGTGAGTTTGCTAATTTAAGGAACTCTCAGGCGGGCAAACTCCTTCTACCAATATAGGCTGGCACCCTCTTGTGTGGTTTAGAGCAGAGGAGGGAGTGAACATGAGGCACATGTGCCTGTGAACTAGATTAAAATGTAATGGGAAAATATTTTACAAAATAAATAAAAATGCAATAGGATGCAGTTAAAGCTAAGCTGTGGTTTTCTAAGTCGATATGCAGCCCAAAGGGATCCTTGCATATGGTTTGATGCCCCCCCCACCTCCTTCTCTGTGAGGTTCACACCACTGAGCGGTCCCAGAGCCAGTCTAGGTCAGAGACAGGACTCGACACAGGCCAGCTCTCCAGCTACCATGCCATGCCACCTCTCTGTCTGTAGGAAACACTTGAAACCCTGATGGGCTCTAATGGTGGAGGACGCAAATGGGGAAATTCTCTTCCTGGATCTGATTTTCCCCACTGGGGAGTCCCAGAAACCCAGGAAGACATGGCTGGGTGGAAATGACAAGACTTTGAGTGAAAGGAAGCACTTCCTCCCCAAAGTTTGTGACAGAGGAGAGGAAAGCCAGACATCTGCTAACAGGCACCCTAGATTTGGAGAAATTTCAAAGGGCTCAGAGGAAGGGTCATCCAGTCCAGGGAAAAAAGGAATTAAGGAAGGAAGGAATTATTTAATCTCATTTGAGCATCACACCAGCTCTGGGAGGTAGGTTATTATGGGGAAACTGAGGCAGACAAAGGTTAAGCAACTTGCTCAGACACTTGGCTAGTGTCTATGGCTCGATCTGAACTCAAGTCTTCCTAATTTCAGGCCCATCGTACCACTTATCAGGAAAGGGGTTGTTTTCAAGAATGAAACAAGGAAAGGCGCAAGGAAAGAGAATTCCATAAAGAAAAAGAGGGTGTTGCCCAAAGAGAGTAATAGAATTATTCACGGGGCTCCCCCGCTAAACTCGATTTGTTAAAAGACAGGTACAGCACAGTGACAGCAGCAACATTGTAGCGATGATCACCTGGAAAGACTTGGCTACTCTGCTCAATTCAGTGATGCGAGACAGTTCCAAAGGACCCATGATGAAAACTGCTCTCCGCCTCCAGACAGAGAACCGATGGAGTCTGAGTGCAGAGTGCAGCAGATTTGTTCACTTTGTTTTTCTTGCCTTTTTTTTTTTTGCAACATGGATAATATGGAAATGTTTTGCATGTATAATTGATATCCCATTGCTTGCCTTCTTAATAGGTGACGGAAGGAAGACAGAAGAAAGGGAGAGAATCTGGAACTCTGATTTTAAAAAAAAGAATGAATTAAAAAATAAAACAATAAATTATAAAAAAATAAAAGTACAGATGATGTACACAAGATCCAGCACCACAGAGAAATGCAAAGGCACAGCCTTGCCCTCTAAGAACAATGTCAGGGACTCTGCTAACGCTCAAGACAAGCCAGGCTCACAAGAGGCACTTGGGGCCGAGAAATAAGCTTTTAGTTTGTGTGCCATTAGAACAAGAGGAAGCTCAAAGCAGGGAGAGAAACTACTTCTGGGAGGGGATAGGTCAGTGAGAATGGATGTGAGAAAGAAAGCTCCAGCTCAGTTAGACGGTACTGAAGAGCTGGGACCCCGAGAAGAGGCACTGAGTGCTTGGGACACATGCTTGGCTCTGTGCGGTTTCATCCTTTTTTTCTGGGACTTGTTCTCAGTTCTTACTCTGTTTCTGTTTACTCTGCCAGGGACAATGATGGACCAGAAAGGATGAGAAGATGACATCTTCTCTCAAACTAGGAGATAATGGGAGGTCACCTGCTGCCTGACCCAGGTGACTTAGCTCCTGGCACATGGGACTGACAGTGATCTTAGAAGGGTGAAGCCCGGGAGAGGTGCCTCAGCATAGCTGCAGGGCAGCAAGACTCCTGATTTTCCAAAAAGGGAAGAGAATGAAGTCTCCTGACTGGACACTCCTCCCAGGACACCCAGGCCAGCCAAGTTTCTAGGCTGCTCTCCAATTTACTAAAATGTCAGCATGGCTTGGTCCTCCCCGCTCCTCCCTTTCCTTAAGCTCCTCCAGGGCAGAGCTGGTCTTTCTTTCTGCTTGTTTCTGTATTCCTGGCCCTTAGCACCGTGCCTGGCACGGAGTAAGAGCCTAATCAATGTCTGTGGACCTACTGACTGACATACTGAAAGCTAGACTGTTGGGCCTCCTCCAAATGTGGCCTGGAGCCCCTCTCCTTGTCTCCAGGAAAGACCAGACTCCGCAGCTCTTTCCATTCCTGGGATGGGAGCTTCTCAAGTTGGAGTCTGGAGGCCCAGCCCAATACCAAGAGCAGATGTTTGGATTCGAAATGGTCTTTCTTCACAACAATACTGCCTCTCTTGCAAGCCAAAGGCTGCCAACTGTTTTTAATTAAAAACAGACACATCAAAACACAATGAAAATAATACTCCCGGCGCCAATATGTGGGCTGTGGGAACAGGTGGCTCTGAATCCTGTTTCCAGTGCCATCTTGGTCCGTCAGACACCTACTTGTCTGACAAAAACAAATGCCTGGCTCCCAGCACAACAGACAAGCTAGAGGCTTGAGTCCGAGCCCAGCTCCCTTTCCTCCTGTCAAAATAGGAGGAAAGGCTTCCAATAAGGGAAAAGAAAGAGGGGCCACAAAACGTGAGGAAGTGTGGTCCAGTGGAAAGAACACTGGTCTTGGAGCTGAAAGTCAGATGTTCAAATCCTGCCTCTGACATTTACTACTTTCGGGAGCCCAGAATGATTCACTTTGCTACTCTTGCCTCAGTTTCCTCATCTACAAAATGGGATTACAAATCTGACCCAATGACCTTATACAGTCAAAAGCACTATATCATAGAACTTAGAGCAGAAATTCGTTGGAAATCCTCTAGACCAACAGCCACACTACACAGCTAGGGGAACTGAGGCCCAGGAGAGTGAAAGACCATATTTCTTTTTTTTTCTGTTTTTTTTTTAAATTTTTAAAATTTTTTCCATATGCTTTTGAGTTGAAAATTTTTCTCCCTTTTCCTCCCCCCACCCTCCCCAAGATGGCGCACAATCTGATATAGGCTTTGCATTTACATTTTCACATTAGTGAAGTTGTAAGTAAAAATTAAAACCAATACGAGGAACCATCGGAAAGATGAAACAAAACTCAACAGAAGGTAAA